TTTTTTTTTGGTCTTTTTCAGACAAGGTCTCCCTATAGCCGCAGCTGGCCTGGATTCACTAATGGAGACCAGTCTGGCCTCAAACTCACAGAGATCCACGATCCACCTGCCTCTGCCTCCAGAGAGTAGGGATTAAAGGCATGTGCCACCATGCCTGGCTTTTTTAAAGAGTTTTCCATAGGGGTTGAACAAGTATGCAGTCCCACCAGGAGTGGATGAGCAGTCCCCACATCCTCTCCAACATTTGGTATCATTTGGTCTCTTGATCTTGGGCCAGTCTGACTTGAGTAAGATGAAATCTTAAAGTGGTTTTAATTTGAATTTCCCTAATTACTAGTGATGCTGAACACCTTTTAAGATGCTTCTTATCCATCTTTATCTCCTTTTGAGAATGCTCTGTTGACAAATTATACATACAACCAGATCAAAGAATGTAATATATGTCTAGGCAAGGTTTATATGAGAGCATTTGGTCTTTGACCAAGCTCTATCTACTTGGCACATGGTAATTAAAAGTACCAGACTGGTGGAACTAACCTTCTTGGATGTTTAACAGCCATACTATGAGGCCTATACTAATGTGGACAGAGGGACATAAAGGACAGTTTTTGCTCCTTGTCCTCCTAAGTCGACTAAGTTCCAGGGGACTTTGAGCATCTCTCAAAATGTCCTGTAACTGTGGTGAGTCACCTGTCCTCTTGATCAAGGAGGCCGTGGAGACCCCACCAGATGGACCTGAACTAGCATCCAGACTACAAAGAGGAGGGTCAATGTAGAGGAAACATTTCCTCCATGCTTCCAAGCGAAGCCAGCCATGGTCGAGCAGGACCTTTGACTTGAACTTGTAAAAGAAAGGAGCCAGGGGCTCCTCCCAAGCCCATGTGACCCTGAGGAACAAATCCTCAAAGGGACCTTAAGAGTGAAAATAAATTGGTTTATCTGGGCCAACTGCATGGTCTTAAACACCCAAAAGTAAAGTATAACCAAAGACTAAAGGGATCAATATAATTTTTTAAGAGTCCATATGTATAGCTAAAGGCTACCTAACAAGAAACAATGTCAGACAGGAGATACCTTCCTTTGAGTTATTGGCCCGGGGTGGCCCAAAAGACTCCTAGACAGTAACCCAGCATAGACCTGGGAAAATGAACAACAGACCCCAATCTTATCTAAAGGAATATTGAAAACTGATAGCTGCTAGATGAGGAACACCTGATCTTCCTAAAACAAGGCTCTCTAGATAGGTTGACTAGATTCAGCAGAAAAACGGCTGGAGGGGGAGTGCAATGAACAGTGGACAGTAGCAGGGATGACAGAGTATAAGGGCTGTAGTCTGTTGGGGGGGGAGGCTATGGGAGGGTGCCATCTGGGAAGTGGGTGTATAGATGAATAAGATGGGTTTGGATGTTCTGTGTGATATATCTACACACAAAAAAAATCAACAAATTTTAAAAAATAAGTTATATTTGAGGAGAAAGCATAAAAATTTACTTCATGTTAAATAGCAGAGGTGATAAACATTACCAGTGAAATCTACCTGATGACTTTATATCTATATTCAGGTACTAAGGATCTGAGTATAACCTACAGTGACTAGTAATCATCAGACACATAGAGATTAAAGACACATGTGCAAACATCTAAATATTAGTAGCATTAAAAATGTAGGAAACAGCGTACTTTAAAATGAAATGGAAATCTTCTTTAAAGGGTAAAAACTCATTCAATTTTATGCCTTACAGGGTTTATACTGAGTTCAATATTGTATAACTGTATTAATTCATCTGTGAACCTAAAATTTGACAGCCACTTTTGAAAGAGATGTATCCTTGCTCTAGAATGTGTCACTGAGTATGTTAAAGCTATAATGAAATGCTTCTTCTAATCATGTAGTTATTAAATAAAATTTTTTTAAATTTACACAGAATGTATGAAACCTTAAGTGCTTTCATCAATATACAGTGAATATTTTGCATTTGAGTTTTGTGTTTTGTTTTGTTTGCTCTTGCCCTGGAATTCCCAAGTATATATGGTCAAAATCATTTTAGATATTTGACAACAGACCAACCTTTCCTAAAAATAAGCAGTTAACTAAACCCTAAGAAGACTAATTTTTTCATAAATATTACCACCAAACAACAAATATCAACTAACTTGCAATTTACATTAAAATATACCCACAAATGTAAGTCGTTATATGCACCCATCTTTAAAAAAATAGTCCTTATAGTTTAATTCTAAATAAATAAGAAATTTTATACACAAATGAGAGAGTTAAAAGTATAAAGGAATCTATTCTTCATGATCCTTTTTAGTATTTCATGATATAAATGCATTAAAAAAACTCACCTATACAAATTGTCAGTGTTTATTTATTATAAAAATTTATTGCTGATAAGAATTGACTTATTTTATGTGATAATCTTCCCAAATATAACAGAATTGCAAACATAAGCCTCTTTAATAGTGCTATTCTTGGCTTTTTAAAATCTTATAAAATAATCACTTGGTTTCACCTGAATTGTTCTTTCGTTATATACAGAACATTGAAGCATAAAATAGAATTAAAAAACCCAAAGTAGTGAGGGCTGGAGAGATTGCTCATAGGTTAAGAGCACTGGCTGCTCTTCCAGAGGACCCAAATTCTATTCCCAACACCTACGTGCTAGATAACAACCATATGTAACTTCAGTTTTAGGAGATTCAATGCCATCTTCTCACCTCCATGGACTTTGCATGACATGGGTGCACTTACATACATTCAGGCAAAACTCTCATACACATAAAAATAAATAAATCAAAACCCCCCCAAAGGATTAGATAGAAAAGCTTGAGAGGCCACTACTCATAAGAACAAAGTATGTGAGAGCACAACAGTTGCTCAGCGCAGAACAAATGATGAAAGCATAGCATGATAAATTGTTTGGCTATAAATGTAGAGGCCTAAAACCTTTACCTCATATACTAGTAAATGCAAAATACTTAGTGACTATACAAATGGACACAACTACATTTTGTGAAAGTACACAACTGAAAGCAGGGTAAAGTCGACAGGTATGTACCACTGTAAGTGCATGTTTAGAAAAGCATTTAATGGGGCCGGAGAGATGGCTCAGTGGTTAAGAACACTGGTTGCTATTGCAGAAGACCCAGGTTCAAATCCCAGCACCCACATGGAAGGTAACAACTGTCCATAACTCCAGTCCCAGAGGATCCAAGAGCCTCTTCTGACCTCCATGGGCATTGCACGACATGGGTGCACTTACCTACACGCAGGCAATACACACATACACATAAAATAAAAATAATATAAAAATTTTTTAAAGGTTAAAAAAAAAAAGAAAGCATTTAACATAGTAGGTCTGCATTAGCCATAGAAAGACCACTTGCAAGACTTGGTTCACGGATGGGGTTTATGGACTTGGATTTTGAATATCCACTCTTCTTCTTATAGTCTAGAATTTTGGTATATCTTAGGCAGCAAGCAACCAATGATAGAAAACCCTTGCACATGCCTTTAATCCCAGCACTTGGGAGGCAGAGGCAGGCAGCTCTCTGTGCATTTGAGGCCAGCTTGGTCCACATAGTGAGTTCCAGGCCAGCTGGGGCTATAGGGAGACCCTGTCTCAAAAAGACAAAAAAGAAAAAGAAAGAAAGAGAGAGAGAGGGGGGGGGGGGGAACGAAAGGAAGAAAGCAAGAAAGAAAGAAAGAAAGAAAGAAAGAAAGAAAGAAAGAAGAGAGGAAGGGCGGAAGGAAGGAAGGAAGGAAGGAAAAGAAGGAAGGAAGGAAAGAAGGAAAGAAAGAAAGAAGGAAAAGAAGGAAAGAAGGAAAGAAAGTCAGCCCTGGCCTCAAGAAGGATTTTGCTGGTAGAGAGTAATTCATTCACTCTGTCAGAGCTTACTATTGGAAAAATTAAGAGACCCTATGCCTCCCAAGGAAGGAGGAAGATTCTTAGAGGCTTGCACATGGTTTCCCCTGGACCTTGCCCCCATAGATTTAGTTTTTATTTTTATGTATATGAGTGTTTTGCCTACATGTATCTAAGTGTATCACATATATGCAATGCCCACAGAGGCCAGAAGAGGGTTTTGGATCCCTGGGAACCATAGTTAGGGACAGCTGTTAGCCACCATATGGGTGCTAGGAACTGAACCCCAGTCATCTGTAAGAGCAACTAGTGCTCTTAACAGCTGAGCCATCCCTGAGTTCTGTCCCCATACATTTAGTACCCCACTTACTGATTTTGTTTCAGATGCTTTTACTGTAATAAGTCATAGATATACGTAGAACTACAGGCTGGGTACTGTGACTCTAGTCACTCACCAAACTTGAGGGTGATCTTGGAGATGCTCAATATACTACATAAAATATTGAAATGTGTGAAATACAAATGAAACTACTATACCATGATAATAGAAACTTATCAAATATTTTTTCTTTAGAGCATTTGATTAGCATTTAATGATAAACAGAATATTACTTATTCTATAAATGCTAATAAGAACAATTCAAAAATAATGAGTAAGAAGCAGAATAAGGTATTCTCATGCTTAGAAGAAAGTCCTATGATGGATGAGACTAGTAGATAGGTAAATGACAAAAGGGAGGTTTCAGAACATGGAATGTGAACATAGCAATGTGCTTTATGGGACAAATTAACAATGGAATGGGCTCTGTAGCCTTAAATGAATCTGCTATAATTGTCTATTATTTAAATTTCTTATAGACCAAAGTATTTCAGATTGCTTTTTCGTGGAACTTTTGACAATGTTATAAGCCATCATTTACATAACAGAAAAAGGAAGTGAGTCCTGAACTTCAGAAATTAGACCTCAAATCTGCTTATATTTATCATGCAAATTTATAGTTGTCAATAAATACATGTCCCTATTGCCATTTGACATGCAGATACTCCGTAAGGCAGTGACACAAATAATGCTGGCCAACATCTTTCTGCCTTCTGCAAAAGAGATACAAAAATATCTTTATTTAAACATACCTTAACTATTTCTTCAATGAAACAAATGTGAGAAACAGGATCTCTCTTCTTAGTTAATACTTTTTGTAGATGTTGGACCTAAAAGGGAGGAAACAAAGGAAATGTATATTTAATTAGGTCTTTCCAAATGAAACAAACATAAAGCTTAGGTACTGGAAAAAGCAAGGTGTACTTCAGAAATCACTCACAAATAGTATTACCACTAGAACATAGGAAAAGCAAACATACTGCTAAGGAAAGGAAACTGCAATGTATTTTAGTCTTATATACACTGTCATCAGCTAGCAGAGGTATTGGAGTGTTCAAAGATGATAAAAAGCCTGCTTCAAATAACACAACATAGATTCACCAGGAGTTAATTTATGTTTAAAATTCTTCCCACCCTCTGAAATATTTACCTGTGCACAAGCAGCACAAATATGATCCATAAGTTTCTCCATATTGGTCCAGAGGGAGGCACGGAAAGCTGCAGTATTTCCTGGGGTTGGCATGGTTGACCGTCCAGGACCTCCTGGTTAAGAGCATAGGAGAAATGAAAGTTACTAAATACAACAAAATTTTTATTATTCTGAGAGCATACTAAAGTTCCTTTCACAAATAATTTCTTTGGGCTCAATACGAAAAAAAATTTAACGTTTTTATTAAAAAAAGCAAACATCACACAAATACACCTTTTGAAAAAATTATATTAATGAAATGGTTTCTTTTTTTTTTTTTTCTGTCTTTTTGAGACAGGGTCTCCCTGTAGTCCCAGCTGTCCTGGAACTCACTATGCAGACCAGGCTGGCCTTGAACACACAGAGATCCACCTGCTTCTGCCTCCCAAGTGCTGGGATTAAAGACGTGCACCACCACGCCCAGCTTGGAAATCGTTTCTTAAATAAGGGAAGAGGGTAGAGAGACATGGAAGAAGGTAAAAGGTACAGAGATAGCATGATTGACACAAATATTTTACATATTCTAAAAACAAATTTAAAAAGAATGACAAAACCAAGCCCCAATACTGAATTCAAATAAATGCAGAAAAAAAATGATACTATCTGTATGTCAAATCACTAACACAACCACGGGGGGTAAACGATTAGTTCAAATCATATTTAATCATAGAACATTTAATTTAGTAGGATATATTTTATAGGCAAAAAGAAATTATGAATAAAATCAGTTGTTATGTATATAGTATGGATATAATATTCCTGCAGCTAGTTTAGGTATATTATTGAAAGCAGCAAATAAAGGTTCTTATTGTACACAGACTAAAGATGAAAAGCAGTGGGAATTGCAGGTGTTTCCCAAATCTGTATATTGGAAGAGTAGAGAGATAATGACTCCTCACTAATAAAGAGCATTCCTTGTACCCAAAGTCTTATTTTTATGTATCTTCCTCATTCCCCTTTCCAAAACCAACCAACTAGACAGGGCTCACTAGAAAGAGATTTCCTAATATTAAAATATAAACCCAATAGCTGTTATGTCAGAAAACAAAAAAAATGTTCAGAGATAAATGGAAATGTATATATTTTTTTAAAAAGGACACATGAACTTGAATGGAGTGAGGCTTCTGTGAGACAATGGGTCTTCCTTCCACTTTAAGGTGCTGGTTGCTCTAAGACAGATCTGGCAATCTGAAGAAATCAGGCCATGCATCCCTGCAGAAACCCCTTTCTTTCTTCTCTCCCTCCCTTCCTTGTCTTGTAGGCCATGTCATGCTAAACTGAGGTGATGTGGAACTTCCTGCCATTCCCTAAAAATATGCAAAGTCACAATACCGTACACTTTGAGGGGGGAATTCCTTTGAAGCCTGGCACCTGCTGTGTTGTCCAGGGCAGCTATCTCTCCATCTTTTGCTTTAAGATGACTCTCTTACTATTCTCATAATATTCCTAATTGCTCTCCCACCTCAAGGCCTGACCACAGCCCCATAATCCTAAGTCTCTCTTTCCAAATAAAACTCATTTTTGAAGGGTAACTGCCCTCAGTGTCCTTTCTCAAACCTACAGTTTTCCATCTCTTTGTTTTAACAGCTTCTACAAAACAAACTGGGAAAAATCTGGCTATTCAAAATAATACTGATAATAATACATTTAAAATGATAAAAAATAATTCAAGAGGGGCTGGAGAGATGGCTCAGCAATTAAGAGCACTGACTGCTCTTGCAGAGGACCCAGGTTCAATTCCCAGCACCCACATGGCTGCTAACAACTGTCCATAACTCCAGTTTCAGGGGAATTCGATGCTCTCTCTGACCTCCACGAGCATTGCACGACAAGGGTGCACTCACATACATGCAGACAACACACTCGTACATATAAAAATTAAAAAAAAAATTTTTTAACTTAAAAAAATTCAAGAGTAAATGCGGGTAATTTTTTTGTTTGGTTTATTTTCTGTTTTTTCTAAGACAGAATCTCACTATGTAGCTCTGGCTGGCCTGGAACTCTATATAGACAGAACAGACTGGCCCCCATCTCAAAGAGATCTTACCTACCTCTACCTGCCAGTGCTAAGACTAGAGATGAGCACCATAAACCCAGCTAAAAACAAACATTTTAAAAGGATAAAAGGGCTGGTAAGATGGCTCAGGGGAGAAAAGGCGCTTGCCACCAAGCCTTATTGACCTGAGTTCAATCCCCAAATCCAACATAGTGGAAAGGGAGAACCAACCCTGTAAGTTGTCTTCTGACCTCCACATGTGTACCCCCACACATGCATACAAACATAAAATGTAATAAAAAATTAAAATATTTAAACGTCAAAAGGATAGAAGCTGCTTAATAGGTGATTCTGCTGGGAGTTCAGAAGACCAAAATTCTGATAAGAATTCATAGTCAAGCCAGGTTCATAAGGTTACAGATGAAAATTAGGACTTTCAGCAGACTCTTGATCTCTACACTTTGTCCATTTGTAACCTTTCGTATTCCTGGCCCTCCACTGCATAAGTGAGCTTCATTATTGAGAACTGAGATATTCATTAGTGTCCTCTTCTTTACCCCATTCTATGTTCCATGAGCCTTAGGTGTAGAGGTTGCATTGCAGCTGTGTCACTTAGGCCTGGGCAATTCATAGACAGTGTCCATGTGTGACCAGTTGTGGTACTTGGTAATAGTCTCTGACTGGTGCAAAATGAGCATCTTTGATGAAGGGTGACTGGGGTATTTGTCTGTAAATATAAAGATGTATATTTTTCACATAGTAAGAAATCACATTAGTCTAGCAATGTGACAGTCTTGGGGTTTTCTCTAAGATCTATGACCACTCCACCCATGTGTATTTGGTTATGCTTACAATATCACACTTGAGTTTCCTCCAGTTGAGTGGGCTTTTAGTGAGCTTTTTAGTCTGCTGAATGCCGGTCCTTGGACAGGACTCCTTTATTAAACTTCATCCACCCAAGGGTCAGGGACCATCGCAGAAGAGTGGGTGGAAAGACTGTAAGAGCCAGGAAGGAGGTGCATGACCATATGGAAACAGAGTCCTACAAGCTCCTGGGAACCTGTACATATGATTCTATGGCAATGGTGTCAGCATATACAAGTCCTGTGTAAACTCAGGTAGACAAAAACTAGGCATATAACTGGGAAAATGAACACCAGACCCCAATCTTATCTAAAAAAAATATTGGTAACTGATTGCTGCTAGGTGAAGAAGAGCTGATCTTCCTAAAACAAGGGACTCTAGATAGGCTGACTAGACCTCAGTGGATGGACCTGCATTGGGGAACGGCTGGGAACACTGATGACACAGTGGGCCTTAACAGGGATGACAGAGTGTATGGGCTCCAGTGGGGGGGGGGGGGCTATGGGAGGGGGCCAGGGGGGATGGGAGTCTACAGATGATTAAGATTGTTTGAGATGTTCTGTATGAAATATGCAAAAATTCAATAAAAACAAATTTAAAAAAAAGAAAGAAAAACAAGTTATAAAGGAAAATCTATCAGAATTACAGCTGACTTCTCAATGCAAACTAAGAGAGCAAGAAGAGCCTGCACCAAAGTATTCCCGATTCTAAACAACCAACGATGCCAACCCCGAATACTTTAGCCAGCAAAACTATCAAGGTCAAAGGGGAATGGAAAATTTTCCACAACACAAATAGACTTAAAAAATTCATGTCATCCAAACCAGCACTACAGAGAACACTTGAAATACAAAGGACCAAAGAAAGGAATGAGTGTACCCAAGAGGCTACAGAAAGAAAACAAAGAAAGATATAACAACAGAAACACAAACAGGGTCATAAACACAAAGAAACTAAATCAACCCAATATCAATAATAACGCCCAATATTAATGGTCTCAACTCCCCTGTCAAAAAAACACAGGCTGGTGCAATGGATCAAGAAAGAAAACCTATCTTTTTGTTATCTTCAAGAAGCTCATCTCAACTTCAAGGATAGACACTATCTTAGGGTGAAAGGATGGGAAAAAAATATTCTAAGCAAATGACCCTAAAAAGCAAGCAGGTGTCACAATTTTAATATCTGACGAAAGAGACTTTGAATTAAAAATCATCAGGAGAGATAATGAGGGTTACTTCATTCTAATCAAAGGAACAATTGACCAAGAAGATATTACAATCATGAACATTTATGCATGAAACTCCGAGCACCCAATCTCATAAGATCAGTAGACCAGGACTATAAAACAGAGATTAACCCCAACTCAGTAATAGTAGGTGACTTTAATACCCCACTATCCTCAATAGACAGGTCAACTGGACAAAGAATAAACAGGAAGACATCTGAATTTAAATGACATACTATATGAAATGGACCTAACAGATATATACAGAATATGTGACCCAAGCACCAAAGAATACGATTTCTACTCAGCAGCTCATGCAAAACTGACCACAATCTCAGGTACAAAAAAACCCCATCTCAACAAAACAAAAAACTGAAATAATTCCATGCCTTCTATCAGGCCACAGTGCTATAAAGCTTATAATCAATAGCAAAAGAAGTTCTAGTAACTACACAAACTCATGGAGAATAAACAACACATTCCTGAATGATGAATGGGTCAAAGAAGAAATTAAGAAAGAAATAAAACTATTCCTCGAACAAAATGAAAATGAGAACACCAACACAACAAAACCTCTGGGACACCTTAAAGGCAGTCCTAAAAGGGAAGTTTATATCTCTTAGTGCCTACATTAAGAAATGAGAAAGAGCACATGTAAACGACTTGACAATACAACTTAAGACTCTGGAAAGGCAAGAACAAATCAACCCCAAACCTAGTAGACGAGAAGAAATACCACAAAACAGAGCAGAAATTAATGAAATAGAAACAAAGAAAACAATATAAAAAAAACAAAAACCAATGAATCTAAGAACTGGTTCTTCGAAAGGTTAAACAAGATAGACAGACCCTTACCCCAGTTAACCAAAAGAAAGGAAGAGCAAATCCAAATGAACAAAATCAGAGGCAAAAGGGGAAACATCACAAGAGACACCAAAAAAACCCAAAACACTGTAAGGGAATACTTTAAAAACCTATATTTCATTAAA